GTCCCAGGGAGACAAATGAGTCCACGACTTGCTTGATTTGGCCGTGTTCGATGGTTTCGCCGTTCCTTTGTTTCTCCACAAGCTTAAGCACCGCGTCCATAACCTTGTCACTGACCTTTTCGAACAGCTCCTTCCTCCATTGCACAAGATGCAGGGTGTAAACGTCGTAGATATTCTTCTTCCCTTCATCGATTTCTCGCTTGACCCAATGTCTATTGAGATAACGGAAAAGATGGTGGATATATTTGGCGGCAACTGTGTAGCGACCCCATTCTTTGATATAGAAAGTGAGCAGCGCCTCGTCGGTGTGGGCCTTGCTTTCATTCACAAGGCTATCGAGATGATGGTGGAGGTAGTCGATCAGCTTGTTGTAGAGCTCTTCCCCTAGTAGATGTGCTATTGAGCAGTTAGCTTGACAGGCCGTAAACACATGTTTAGGGATGGCTTACCGCCTCTGTGGTTACTGTGCATAGCAGGACCAGTCATGCCAACTGCTTTTTGGGATGTACAAAAGTTATGGACAGCGCTGTGACAAGTCAGTGGACGCTTCTGATATACTGTTTGTGGTAAAGGTGACTAACGTGTAAACACCCATGTACATTTGCATGTCGATGCCCTGCTCGAGATCGTTCATAACGCGTGAGATACCAGCTTGTAGATAAGTCCATCTATTCGGGTCAGTTTTGACAGTCTTAACATGAACAAGGCTACTCACGTTGCCCCAATATCCTCTCTGTTGGGTATCGGGGGCATTTGACTCGGGGCGCCCATCTTTGCGGCCATGGTCTAAAAAGTGAAGATAGATGGCGGTTCAACGGTGGTGTTGGTGATGGAGGCGGGGTCAGTCTCGAGGGGTTCGACGCGATGTCGTCAGAGTCGACAAAAGGTCGATTTGCACAGAAAGAGTTAAAGGTATAGAGCTGTGACCAAAGCGCAATTATGCGACGCGACGATGGATATGACGATCAGGTTTGACGCTCGAGGGGATATTGTCCCGGCTGGTGTTGAGCTAGGTAGGTACTCAGGCACGACTGAGAGCAAGGTTGAGCCTAGAGGCGGTTTCGGATGTGCAGTAGTAGGTAGTTGGTAAGTCGGTTTTGTGCTTTTTGTGGCAAGGCAAAATGCAGTCCATAAACTTAAATCATCCTAGACATATGAGTCATCAGAGGGAATGAGTGAGAGAGAAAAGAAGAAAGTGAAACACCCATAAAGTGATTCTTGACAGTCAAATAAATGCACAGGACGGGAGAGGATCAGGCAGTCAATGTCAGACCGCAGTAGCTGGACTGAATATGACAAGGCGTTGGCTGAGGCAAGGCCAGGCCACAACAGGAGGAGCAACTTGCTGTAGAAGGCTTAGCGTCGGGATCTGCCGCTACATACCGCCCTAGGCTGATGGCCGGGTTGTCTCCGATAAACAGGGGTGAAGTACCTTAGGTACTAGGTACTGTGGAAACCTTCCAAGTGAAGCATCAAGTAATTATGGGTAGGGCTAGGTACCTTGGTAATATACCTTCAGCCTGAAGCGTCATATACATGAGCATGCAGTGCTAACTGAATGCTAAACACTTAGTAGTAAGATATCTTAGGAGGTAGGTACAGGTAAGCGACGCAAGCCACAGGCAGTGGTTGACACGAGTTCGACAAATAGAGCCATCTCTGCGCGTTCCAGCAACAGACACATAATTAAGCTTTGTTCTTTTGATCCATTCACCAACCCTAAGGTCGTTCTCGAATACAAGAAACATGCATGTGTAGCACGTGTATTTGGTTATCTGTAATACTAATAAAGAGAAAAGAGAGCAGCAATGAACGCTAAGCACGGTCTACCGTGATATCAATGTCCCATATATTCCTACCAGCCGCCATAAGCACTCCCTGCTCAAAAGGGTATCCTAAATTTGCAAATCGAGTCCGTTGCTCCAGTCTTCCCTCACCTTTCCTAGATATGCAGCCCATCATCTTCACCTCCTCCCAGGCGTTCCACTGTGCGGAATATGTTGACTGCAAAGTTCATCGTCCAAGCAATCAGACCCATGAGCATGAATGCTGCCAGCGCTTTTGACAAGCTCCTCACTGCTGTGTCGGACAAGTTATGATAGACAAGGCTCTCGAACGCAAGTGCTGTGCTTGCCGACTTGAAGATGATGAAAAAGAGGTCCAGCAAGATGAGAGAGATTTTGGAGACAACAGATCGTAACCCCAAAGGCTTGCCTGTGTACTCATCCCAGATCATATAACCAATGTATGGAATAGCCACGCAATCTACGGCCACGGCAACTATGGATTGTGTCTCTTCTGCTGAATCTGTGCTATCAACGTCTTCAAGCAGGTGGATCCGCGCTGCAATAGCAAGGGCAATGATAGAAGTGACCATGACGCTCAGTCTAAACACTAGAGGGGCAAGAGAGTGCCGAATAGCTATATTCCATAAACGTTTGTACGGAGCTAGCGTCCTCTTCTTCCGTGAAACCCTGGCTTCTTGTGCATCGTAAGGGTGGCGGGCTGGTGTGTTGAAATTCGGTTGTAGGTCGTTTAGAGCCTCAACGTCCACCACTTTCGAGTCCTCGTTGGTCATGCGACCCCATGCCGAAGATTGGACAAAGTCTTGCCATGCTATGTTCGGCTGTGAGGTTAGTGCTGGTTTATGTCCCGGCACAATGACGGGTTCTGCGGATCTCAGATGGTCCCATTTCCTGCCACGCATCGAGGCGCGGCCATAGCGCATAAAATGGGGGATTTTGCCTCTTGTTTCCTGGCCCTGGCCAACAAGAGGATCTTGCGGATCGACGAAGCCATCTTGCGAGATTCGTCTTTGGGGGTCACTTGGTGACGAGTTATGTTGTGGTGGGACAGCGCGAGTGGGAGGCTGGAGCAGCCGCAGTTGGTCGTCGCTTACTGAGCCATGTTTGTCGTCCCATGAATCAATCCAGGCTATTTCTTGGGTTAGCTGAGAAGTCAAGCGATGGAGTTATAAAATCACTTACGTGGGAGGGACCGAGGCGGGCGCAGACGGGCAGATCTGCCAGCGACAGAGCTGCTCAAAGTGCGGCCAGAATCATAGGTCCGTGGAGAGTCGTGATAGGTGCCAGTGCCAGTGCCAGTTCTTGGAGGAGAGGGAGAAGTCATGACGTGAAATCAGTGGCGGCCCGGACGAAGCTAACGATCGCGATGTTTATGTCTTCAGCTGGATATTGAAGCCGGCGAGGGCGATCGCAAAGCGTACCCAGGACAAACTGGCATGGCAGTCGAAATATTAAAGCGCGGCTGAGCCGGCGACACGTGGGTTTGAGTTAAGATGCCGAGTCTAGGTACCTAGGTATTGTGTTTATAGAAGGTACTGGGTGAGTTATTAGAAAATGGAAGGGTATTCGTGACCGTCAACGGCTCGAGTTCAAGAAAATGTGATGGACACAAAAACGCACACGACACACAGCAAAAACACACAATAGTTGGAACGTAAGGTAACGAAATAGACTGGGAAATTAGAGACTGGAGATCCCCGTCCTTAGGCTTTTGACGGGCGTTTCGACGCGCCCATAGCCTGGTCTGTGCAGGCTGGGTCAGGACCCCCAAGGCGTCATCCATTGACTGTTAGTGGGCGAGATTACCTGCTGAGCTCTAGAAGCGCTAGAGCGTCATAGGCCGCCAAGGCGCTTCCAGGTCGTTTGCATTCATTGTTCCTTGCTTTGTTCCTCATGGACGCATGCATTTCTGTGTAATGAAATCATCGAGGCCTAACGGTCCATTGTTCCCAGCTACTATGCTGTACACTCTATTATCTTGAGGGTTTATTGCAGCCTGGCCCTCAGTCTCTATTATCTACATGAAGCATTGTAAGCATTGTCTCTCATCCTCGCAAGATACCCCTGCCAACCTATCAACCCCAGTCGTGCCCAGAAAGCCTAGTTCTCGTTGCATACCTTCTGGCTGCCTCCTTGCAGCAACGCAGATCCTTGGTTGATAGGCTCCAGGCACAGAGCAACAGGGTCTCTGTGCCTGGGCTTGATTTCGATACGGATACGTGAATAAATCTCGAGGTTTTGGTCAATGACAATGGGTAATATCACGCGACACAATCCGATGTGCCGCAATCACGCGAACCAGATACACATGCACTCATCGTATCCACAAGTTTTCAAACTTTCGAAGGAAACTTGCGTCCAGACCAGGTTTCAGCTAACTTAGTTAAAAGCCTGCGGAGAAGATAGCCTTCGCTTGCCGCTTGTCACTATCTTCAATTCTCCGATCGTCCCTCATCCTTGAATTCAACCCCACAGGTATTAAGCCAATGCTAATGTATTCTGCTACCACCAAATTGAGCGACCTATTTTGGGATATCTCATGCGCTTGATCCCACTTCCTCACTGCTATATACTATGTATGACTTACCCAAATAGTAGCCATGACCTATACTTTCTGGACTTCAGGTACTTGTCTCAATTGGATCGAGCTTGTTTTTCCTAGGTACCTAACCTTACCTTGCTTCGAGGTGTATGTTGCTCCGCAAGCTACTCCGTAGACATGTAACCATTCATATCTCATTAGAGAACCATCTTAGCAAGTGGTTATCCCGACTTCTTCACTATCATTCCACAATTGTTTTCCCAACCAAGGGAAACATCGTGGCTATTTGGCAAACTGATGTAGTATGACGGGTAGCTAATTATGATTTTTTATTTCCCCCCCTGTGCCATTTCTAATCCATGGTTGTTGGGTAGGCGTAGCTAAGGTATGTTTCGACAAAGGTTGTCACCTAGGGCCTGGGAATCGAGGAGGACCATCACCCTCCAGTGACAGTCGGTCCCGTTCTCCAAAGACCGCACTCTTCTATAAATCCGTTTCAATGGTTTCTCCAAATTTGTAGGATCGTAGCGGATTTATATCAGACAGAACCCATGGGAGCCGCCCTGAGTGCTATTCAAGCATCCAGATCCTTACCAATGGGACTACCACGCTCGATCTATAGGGTTGAGATCTGTCAGCTCATTCTTTGCTGGTCATCGTCCAGTCTCCTTGTCGCTCTTGTGAAAGCCCAACCACTCGCCTAGCATGCCACCCGGCTTCGGCAGTGGGCATTCCCTCCTCGCTCTATCTTGTGCGTTCTCTGCCTCGTCGCCCGCCACATCGTTAAATTGAACGATCCCGTCTTCGACTTTGGGGTTGGTGTCCTTCCTCTTCCATCTCATTCGTCGGCCATTCTCGTCAACCATAACATCTCCATCGGCGAAGCGGGCCCGTGGTACGGGGCAAGGAAGCAAATGGGGAATCGTGACGACCAGAAAGCATGCGGCGACTGTCGTTGCGAAGAGCGACGATGTCATTCGCGATTTTGGGTGAAGGAGTGGTGGCATGATCCTGGTTAGGTCTGGAGGTCGTTTGGTGGTAGTGTGGACTCTAAAGGTCTCAATTGGTCGTCAGCGGGTGTTTCAATGGGTTCTAGATGCCATTGAACTCACATGACAGCTGTAGCATCGTCCTCCGGACAAGCATTGACCAGGTCAACGTTGCCGACAGTATCGAGCGATTTGTGGTGGTGATCCAGAATTCGTCAAGACTCACCCAAACCTGAGTTATGATGTGACTCTCATTGGCTACCGGGGGAAGGGGATTGTTTCGGCCTCGGCTCTATATAAGCCCGATCTAGAGCCATTCAATTGGTGGGGCAGTTGTGTGTCTCCACCTCGAAGAGCGTCACTCAACACCGCGAAGTCGCGAAATCTCCAAATCCCCAACTACAACCAACACGCGAGACCAGCTTTCAAGTCACCCCCGCGATCAGCTTAAATCACGTCGCATCGCATAGCATTGCATCGCATGACAACTCCTGGCTGCACACGATATGTTATGATCATTTTCTTCGATAAGGCTTAGGATTAAAGATTAGCGGCGCGCGCATCCCCACGTGCCAGCCCACCAACCCTACCCTTTCACGATGAGCGACCTCGATAAGTGAGGCTGAATGCCCGATCGCCGGTCTTCGAATTCTTGAGCTAATAACTCATTCTCAGGGCCATTGCGCAGCTGCGCGCATGCCGACCGATCCCGGAAGCGCAAGTCCGCGAGCTCTGTCATAAAGCTCGGGAACTTTTAATAGAAGAGGGCAACGTCGTCACTGTAACGGCACCAGTAACGGTATGCCTTATGCCTTTATGAACGCTCAGCAATGTCTGATTCTCTTACTAGATATGTGGTGATATTCATGGCCAGTTCCACGATTTAATGGAGCTCTTTCGAGTTGGAGGCGATGTTCCAGATACAAATTACCTGTTCATGGGTAAGATCAGTCTTAATCACACCTTACCAACTTTCACACCTCTAATCAAAACTCTTAGGCGACTTCGTCGATCGCGGCTTCTATTCACTGGAATCTTTCCTCCTTTTGCTCTGCCTGAAAGTTCGATACCCCGATAGAATGACACTAATCCGCGGCAACCACGAATCTCGTCAAATCACCACAGTCTACGGGTTTTACGATGAATGTATAAGAAAGTACGGCAGCGCCAATGTTTGGCGTTACTGTTGCGACATCTTTGATTACCTGGCGCTTGGTGCGATCGTATTGGGCGCCTCCAACACCATGTCGCCTGGAGTGGAACCTGTCGATGACGAAACCGAGATCGAGGTTTGCGACCAGAACGGCTCTATAATGAGCCGTTTTCCCCGACGTCGGCCAGATGATAGATCGCAAGATCAGATCCAAAGCCCAGGTGGGACAGCAATGGACAAGACAGGCCCCCCAGGATCGGGCGCTTCAGGGTCAAGCGGTGGCTCGGTGGGAAATCCAGCCGGAGCAGTGCTTTGCGTTCATGGTGGTTTGAGTCCATTGGTCGATACCGTTGACAAGATTCGCTTGATTGACCGCAAACAAGAAGTCCCTCACGAGGGTGCCATGTGCGATCTACTCTGGTCCGACCCCGATGAGATCGACGGCTGGGGTCTTTCTCCACGAGGTGCAGGCTTCCTCTTTGGAGCTGATATTGTCAAGGTGTTCAACCATCGAAACGACCTGAGTCTCATTGCCCGCGCGCACCAGCTTGTCATGGAGGGATTCAAGGAAATGTTCGACGCTTCCATCGTCACTGTGTGGTCTGCTCCGAATTATTGCTACCGCTGTGGAAATGTTGCTGCGGTCCTGGAACTCTCCGAGGACGAATCTGGCACAGGTCTCTTCGCCCGTAGCAACGGTGATGTTGGCAGAAGCGATGGCGGTACTGGAGTCATGATGGAGGGTGGTATGCCTCCTAGGAGCGGTCCTGCGCGGCGATACAGGGTTTTCCAAGCTGCACCCCAAGATTCGCGAGGAATGCCTGCCAAGAAGCCAGTTGCGGATTACTTCTTGTGATCATCTATCTTGCCATTGTCTACTATTTTCACATCTACCGGCCACAAATGTGGCTTTGTATCACGGAATTAACTTGGGATTGGGGTTATGGGCAGGGTATGGAGTTCGATAATATTCAAAATTCATTATATACCAACTGAGTCAAAGGGTATCGTCATGGTACGCCTCTTAAAATGCTTGATATCCACGCAATGCAGTTCGATCAGTTCCAGGCTACTTTCCAGCGATTCTAAACCCATGCAACAAGCCACTCATACTATCAACATACCTCCTGGTCCCTGGCTTGGATGCAGCTCCGCACAGTTGTCAAACCTCTCGAGCAATTCTAACCAATCTTGCAAAGTGTCGAAACTTTCAATGGACCCCCAGCTTGAGGATGCGGGGTTCTCGTAGACCTCGATCTGAAACATGAGTGCCTGTTCGGTTTCGTTTTTCCTTCCCATAGGTGTCAAGAGGTATGGCATCCTTTTCAAGGCATCACGCAGAATGACTTGGTCTTCAGTAGACAGTCTTCCACGATGTCTGCAAATGTCAGAGATAAGGGTAAGGACAGCGGCGGCAGCATTGACCTCATCGATGCTGAACGCCCTGTTTGTGTTTAAATCATGCGACACAGCGGGCTCGGGGAATTCCAAAGCCGTTGTTGTTTCTGAACCCGTCTTCGAATTGAAACTATCAGGGATTTGGTCGAAGTTGTAGGCATGCTTTTGACAGATGTCAGCGGATTCTTTCACCTCATTCGACGTATATTCTGGTGCCCTACCACATCTAGACAGCGTTTCTTCTTCACCACCACCAAGAAGTCTCGGCCTCAGGATCGAAGGTGTTTCGCTGCATGTCGAAGACAGTCGCGTCCTTTTCTCTTCCTCTTCCTTGTGCCATGAAGTATGGCGCTTGAATCTTTTTCGCCCGACACGAGTCCGAAGGATTGAAAAGAGTTCGAACCAATCTGAAAATCTTGAGGAGGTGCTTTCATCTGTGCCATACGGACCGTAACGCCCGTTTTCCGCCGAGACTTCCTGGTGCTTCCTCTTCTTGGCTTGCTTACCCATGTTGGATGCAGCTTGCTTTGATCCTTCTTTGATACTTGGTGATCTGCCTTGACAGTGGATAAGCCTAGGATTGGAACCGATAGTTTGATGTGCGGTATGCCCTCAACTCGACAAGTCAACGGGATGCTAAGTCTTCTATCGCTTGTATGTTCATCGGGAAGTATGTAACCGTTCCCAAGTGAAGGGTTTGGGATGTTTGCAAATGCTTTGCATCCGGGTCGGCGAGAGGTTTTATAGATGTGAGGCGACACGTGTTCCGCACAGCACAAAGTGTTGAAGACGCCATCAGTAGATTGTTCGACTGCCTGTTCGTCAAGAGGTGGTGCAGGTATGATCTGGTCAAGCTCTTCCCGCTTTGTTCCTATTGGCATTTCCAGATTGGCAGAAAGCATTGCCGCAGATGTTTAATTGTCAACTTGTGAGGTCGCGAACGGTATCAAGGATGTGAATGCTGAAGTGAATGATCGTACAACGTTCGGTTCGAGAGACTACTTGATTAATATTCGATATGAGAAATAGCATGTGTTGGTATCTCCTATTCTTAACGCCCTATCAGCAATCGCTCTTTGAAGATTGATGAAAGACCCATTGTTCCTTCGGGCTCGTTGTTCGTTTTGTCGCTGTCGACGTTCGACTTCTGCTTTATGTTCCAAGAATTCTGCAAGACATGCCAACAAATAAGACCTTTGTCTGTAGAGGACAAAGCTACAGGAACATCATCGTATGGTCGACCTCAGCCTTGTCGCTGGGTTTCCACTGTTTGTTCATCCATAGGCTTCTCCCAGGTTTCCTTTCATTACCCAGTTCACCATGGCAAGACATGGAACACCACGCGCATACCAAGCTTGGATGTGTTTCGAGAAGACGGGCGACCGATAGCAAACCCATATCGATATGTGGGGTAATGCACATCGCCGCCAAAATGCGAGGTCAAGTCTATTGATAGGTCGAAGGAGCTTATGCCTAGCAATTGTACCAAATCCTCTTGAACTTTACGCAAACTGCATCAACACGAAGCTGCTTGTTGGTATCTGTTCGATGTGGATGGCAGAGGATTTTGAGGCCACCGGGCGCAACGAAGTCCATTGGGTCGGACAAAAGCTCTCTGCTGGTTGGCCATCCAGTCAACACGGTCCTGAAGGGCCACCATCTTGTCCTGCAGGGTTGTGAAAGGAATTCATGGGGATGCTATAGCCCATCGTTGAGGAGACATCCCCAGGCATGGGTGCCACAGAGTAGCTGTGTCGCCGGGGATCATCCATCAAAGATCCAGGGGTAGCGATAGCGTGGTAGCTTTCGGTCCGTGAAACTTGAGGATCAGGGAACATCTGAGAGGTGTAGTGTTGGGGATGCATTGACGAAGTTATCGACTGCCTCGGTACTGGTGTAGGGACGTTGGAGGGAAGTGGCCGGGTGTATGCTGAAGGTGGCTGGATAGCTTGGCCAGATTCCCATATAGAAGAACTGCTCGTAGATCCACTCGCGATAGATGGTTCACGGCTTTCCTGCGGAGGGAGGCCGTAAGGTACACCAGTATCGAGAGCTGTAGGTCTCCGGGGTGCTATAACCTGCTGAAGGGATTGGACACTATCGCTGTGAGTGTTGGGGGGGAAGTGCGATATTGCGGCCGGGTCGTTCTGCGATGCTGTACCCGAGTTCAAGTAACTAGTAATGTAATCATCGCTGATCCCATGCCGGTTGAGAAGACCACGGAGCTGTCTGTTCTCCTCTGCAACCCTCCGCGCAGCATGTTGCACCTCCGAGGACGCCTCGACACCTTGCAACTCATACACTCGGAGTCGTTGCTCGAGCTCTTGAAGATACTCTCTTCTTCGGGCCCGGGATCTCCTTTGATTATCTCTAATCCGGGCAAGGTTTGCTTTTTGCTATAGACAAGGACATGCCAACATTAGGAACATGGATCGAAGAGGAGGATGGATATGGACAGAGGAACGGGCCACATACTGCCGGCGTTGACATTTAGTCGTTTTATAACTTGACGGGACAGGCGTTGTCAATATGCGACAAGAGTTCGGCATCTAGGCCAGATCGCGAATCTCGTAACAAGCTCTTTGCGACAGCGCCGTGGTGTTGGTCTGGTCAACCAACACTGATGAGGATCGGCGAAAGGCACAAAGGATAATGGGCATGAGCTCAAGTTGTATGAAGCTGGAGCGGTCCTGATGAAAAACAACCCAGGTCTAATAGATGACGCTTTCCCTTTTATTGAAAGGATGGATGGGGCACCAGCGGTGACATATACCAGGGTATTTATGAAGACTTAAGACGATAAGCTCACGAGAGGGTCCGCCACATGGGAAGGTCAGCCACAGCGGCAAGTGTTTCTTTAGGAGACGGCGAAAGGAAAGAAAGAGGTATTGGGGGCTTCTATACTACAGTCTGGAGGAAGTATCAGATACATGTGCCTCTAGAGATCCAGGGCCCGGAGAACCCCATCAACGGACGGGGCAGCCCTATTGGGACGAAGACCACTGGGCCGGCGCGGGACAACGAGACCAGTCGATGCAAGTGGCAGCCGGTTATGCTGGGAATATGCTGCAGGGCTGCGCTACAAGCAACAGTCGTGAGCTAGCTGCAACCCTGGTGCATTGCAATCTGCAAAAGACAAAGAGCCGGTCAATTCGGTAGCAAGAGATCCATGAACCGGGCGAGCGAGCAGCGCGCCACCAACTCGATATGTGGAAAATGCTAACAAGCCACACTTGAACGCTGACACCGCGACTTTCGAATTGCTCCTCTTGACATGCCCCGTCCAATATCTTGTTGCCATTCTCAAGAGGCGAGTGAAGCTGAGATCACATTGCGTACATAGATAGGTGCTGTACAGTAAGGTAGTCTAGGGGGTGTAGAGGAAACAGAAGACAGGTGTCTCACTAGCGAGCCATATACACATACTCCATCCAGGCGGGCCCGACAGAATATGAGACTTGATTGGGATGTGAGAAACTGTATCGAAAGCCATGAAACCACCATCTAGCAGCTGTGCCAAGAAGCAATCGATTGAACGGGAAGTGTTGCCGTACAGCAAATAGGTGTCTGGGGGGACTGGCAATGTCTCCAGGGATCCTGTCCTTGGGAGGTAGTGGCTGAGAAGATTTTGAGTTCACGGAAAGCGGAGTTGTAGCTGAAATGACGGAGGCCTGGACGGCAGAGGGGCCAGGACCCAAAACCGATGTTAGTGATTTGGTTGAATGGGTATCATGCTTGGTTGGGCATAAACCCGTCGACGACGACATGATTCGGTGATTGCGAGGGCAGCGGCTCCGAGGGTATGGCTAACAAATGGCACATCACACCCACTTTCGAACCTCGCTGCAGAAAAAGACGGGCTGGCGTGAGCCGTTATTGCCCCCTTGTGGCGATAAGGTGGGTGTAAGTCAGACGGACAGGGTGCGCTGTACGGAGATCATTGCTGAGCCACGCGCTCATAAACACGCATCCTTGAATTTCATCAGTCGCTGAGAACATGAGGATATGAAAGTATCAAGCCCTCCCATCCCATCCCAACCCAACCCAAGCCAACACCAACATAGCGGAGGGCACAGAGTTATGTGCGAACACAACGCTGTTTCGGCGGCGGCGGAGGCGGAGGCGAAGGGGCAGTGGATTTGCATCCTCCATATGTTTTGCGATCGTGTTTGCCTGTGATCGTGGAGGCTAGCATCTTGAAAATGCATAGTCTGCTGACAGGCATCTCCCCTTTCACCTACTACGGAGTACGTACGTAGTGGGACATCTCACAAGAGCCGTGGGAACCAAGACCCCTAGGGTGACACCATTCCCCAGCTACCATCAAGGCTAAGCTTTGTTGGAGGTGTTGCCAGGCGCCGTTCTTTTCTTTTTTCGAAATAGAACAAGGGCGTTCTGAGGAGAGTTAGGAGATCAGGATGTGAAGCCATGGATGCCGCTAGCGATGCACGGTCGCTCAAGTCTAGGGAACCGAAAAAGGAACGACAAGGCCGGTCTCAAAAAAAAAAAACAGATCCACAAACAAAAAATGTACGAGTACGTATCGTTTGGCCGTTTAAGGCGTCGTCTGGTGGCTCAACACTATCCCGAGTGCTGTTATGAGATCGCATCGCGGTTAGAATCCACGGCGTATGACTAGGACCGCAACGGTCGAGAATGAGAAAACGATGGAATAGGCGGTGATGCAAATTCGAATGGCAACACTAAAGCAGAGATGGCCCAACCACAGCTCGAGTTTCGTATTGCACAGTACAATACCTAACGCGGCGGGCGCAAATACAGAGAACGTAAGAGCATTGTCGAAATGGCCGGGATCAATCAAGGGAGACAGATCGCGAGCCTAGAACGAACCAAGCGGATCATGATCATACTGCAATAGGCACGTCTATGCGATGTAACATGCTGGAACTTTTTTTTAGTTATCCCAGTTGATTTGTGTGAAAGGAGAAGGCATCTGAGCAGTCATTTGCTTGGGTGGAAGCAACAGCCAAGCTGGGTAAGTCCAGCAGGACAGGGACATTTGCGCATGAGAACGCACCGCTCATCAACGCACTAGGTACCTGCTGATTGAGATTGGATGCTATGATTGAGTTGGCTGTGCCTTAATGACTAGACGATGTCGCGATATGACGCAGTGTGTTTTGCACCCACAGCGCGATAGACTCGGACCTGGGGCTGGGCTGGCGAAGATATCGTCATGTGCCTGCCATTCCCCGAATTTGGGTGAGCTCCCCCCTAAATCTCGATCTTCGCCAGGGAACAAGACCCCAAGGCTGATCCAAGGGTTTGGAACTCAACGTCGAGATGTGGCTGAGGGGCCTAAGTCCAGACCCTGTCCCCACCTCGGCAAATGCCGACCGTTGAGGGATAGCAAAACTGATCAGTTTACACAACCCAAGGTCGGTAACAAGCAAATGATTGCAAGAACCGTTAGGCCGTCAACAGACTTTTATTATCCACTGTAGTCAATATCAGAAGCCGCTATCTCAAGTATAAGATCAAATATACCATGATTCCTGGGTAAGTCCTCGGTCAGACAAGTTTCTGCAAAGTAGACTGTCTATAATCTTTACAACTACTGTTAGCCGACATAAATTCGGTTTGCCGATTGCGCACCCTTGCCTCGGCAGTCATTTCTTCACCATCTTTAGAACTCGTATGATAATACTTACACATTGTTCTCGCTTAATGTCCTTAAGTCTAGCTATTCTCACCGTATATGATGTGTCACTTATATGTTTCAAATGGAGACTGCAGCAGGCCGTCCAACTTACAAGCATGAGTCCCAGCGCCGCGGTCGTGGTAGCGGGTGTACGGGACATCAACCCGGTTCCCAGACCGACTATAAGAAAAAACCATTCAAGCTGCGTCATGGTCACACCCATTTACAAGGAAAAGGGGATACTCTTGCCATCCTTGCACGATCCTCCGACGACCCGGCCGAGAATGCTGCAAGCACGGAATTGTATAGGCCAGAAACAAGAAACGTGAGAAGCATTGACTCGAAAATACGCAGTCTTGGCGACTTTAATGGTGAATAGAGCTTTTGCAACACGGAAATGGCTCATTCACTAATATCTTTGTAATCTTGTCTTGACTCTTGATTTCCACTGATTTCTATGGTCCCGACCCGTTGTTGCCCGCCGCGGTCACGGAGCTGCCGTTGAGAGTGGGTCTGCCCTGCGCCCCTCTTCCCGCCGGAGATCCACTTCAACTACCTACTCGGACTCTCCTTCTTGTCCGCGCGCTGCCTTGAATTCTCCCTCATCTCTAAATTACTCAGCCCTCCATATCTCCCTGCGGCTCTTTGTTTAGTTTCCCTATTCTGCAAAACATCCGAGGCACCAACCTCGGATCACAGAACTAATAAGCACTTCACAGCCATCAAAAACCAAAGCCGCTCCCAATCAGAGGTCGTCGAGTCAGTTCGGACGGACACTAGGTGCGAAACCCAGTACCGACTCAAGCTTATGCACCAGATCGACCACCATGAGGTCCCTAGACAGCTGAATTGTCGGCCCGTCCTTGCAAGTCCTCGGGAAATTTTTCTCAACGCCATGTGCATACGTAGCATCCACGTCACATTCGCGATTCAGGTGGTTATGGGGGAGATTTGTCGTTGTTCCATGGCAGCTTCGCCGATGATGCCTAAGATAGAGGTAACTAACGTGCGGCAGCTTGGGTTGCTCAATACCGCTTCTTTCAGCCACTGTCTATCCCTGTATATCCTGTACTTTCTGACTCGAGTAGGCTGAGGAAATTTCTATTACTACGGACTAAGTATCGTGTACTTTTGCGATTTCCGCGGATACTAGTTGCATCTCAAAGGCTATCTCACCCCTACCTACTATCGATCGAGTCATGACTCCCTGCATCATGACACCCTACCAGCTTGTCAACCACGTTTTTAGTTGTTTGAAGTATACATCCTCTCGGTACACTGTCTCAAACTCGTCTCTCTTGTTCAGCATAATTGCCTCGTCAGTGGGCGCTTTGGTGTGGTAAAATCGCAGTCTGGCTTCTTCAAACCCTTCCGTGGCTGATTTAAGTTTTTTTTTTGCTTGAGTCAACAATTCTGCTTTGAGGCACTGCGCACAGAAATTCGGGATCCTGCCCTGGTCTGGTAGTGTCTTTGGTAGCAGGTGAAGTCCTTCCCTAGTCAGGGGTCTCGCTGGAACTCTATGCCCACACCCGGGATAGATGAGATCGACTCGGCAGAAGGGGCAAGTGCCCTGATAATCGAACCACCCTTCAAGGCACTGCAAGCAAGCAGCATGACCACATGGCATTAGACCAAACGTGCTTTCGTCAGGCGGCTCTGCGTCTGATTTGATCTGACAGCTCGCCTGATGGCATATCTGACACTTGACTTCTGTTGGTTGGTCAATGAGGAATGTAATTTTGGGGAATGGGAAAAAGGACTCTTTGGGGTCGTATCGTCGATGGGGTTGAAACCATGATGAAAAGCGCGGCAGAATCCTCGTCTTCTC